AAAAGTTTAACATAATTATTTATTATAGAAAATTAAGGTTGACAATATTAAGATAATGCTACTAGGCATTAAGTCCGCTATTGTAAACAATTGCAAGAAGTGTACTGTAATAAATAAATAAAAATAAAATTATTTCCGTATGCGACAAAATATTCTCGAGAACCATTAACAAATGTGAGTTCTATGTCAAACACATATTATATTTTGCTTCTGACCAAATAGAAATAAAGAGCAGAAATGCTCTCTAAGGAGTCTATATGAAAAATTATGGGCAAGTTTCGACCAGTCAGCTGTATTTTAGCTCAAAAAACAGAATAAATATTATCTTTACTTGAGTGCCCAACTTTGCTAGTGAATTTGAATATCTTTATTTTAACTTTAAGTCTACAATTGTCAAAAAGATATCTGTTAAAGGCAAATCCTCCGTTAGCATCGGTTAACGGTGCCTCCATGGAGTATAACTTTTTAATCTTAAACCCATATATACAACACTCGCTATTTCCCATTGCTTCACCTGCGTGAGCAAAGGAAAAAATGCAGCCTATATCACTATCCAGCATCATCAGACAAAAATCATTATCGTTATAAAAAAACTTTGTCTCGACATCAAACAACGACAGACAGACAAATAAAGTAATCATATTTATATCTGCTTTAAATCTTCTTAATTAACATGTTAGGTATAATTATATTTAAGTACTTCGCACTCAGACGAAATCTTATCCTTCGGTGTCAAGTTAGCAAAAATTTACATATGAAATTAAAATTATAATATGAATAGTTATACACCTATATATATCGCGGAGAACCTAACGGGTTACCGTGGCTCCTCTTACAAAGGCTTTTTTTAAGGGGAGAAAAGTATCTAACAAAGTGAATAATGCCTATTGGTTTTATATATTTTGCTACTGTACTGTGGGATTTAATCTAATCTTATCTCAATAAGAATGGCCAATTCAATATGACATTTTGAGTTATCGATTTATCAGATACTTGGAATATTTTGATTGGTCTATAAACTTTCATTTTTTTTTACAGGTCTGTAGAAATATTATGTATAACATCATGCCCTTTATCCCGAAAGTGTAGGCATCTGCCTACACATCTGTGCACATTACGGCACTTAATACCACTGTACAATGTAACACCCACGTTTGACTATTTATGTTATGAGTCCCATGTAATGGGTGGTGAGCCTATTGCCATATACCGGGCATAATTCCAGACTCCGTGATACTAGTGAGAATTTTTTAAAACTCGTTATTACTTTGCCATCGACCCCGAGACCCCTTGCCCGGCAATCGCACTTGAGACCTGGCGAACGAGGCAGTTTGTAGAAATAAAATTTGAAAGTATCCACCAAAGTAAATCATAGCCCAGTTCAAAATAATTGTTCAGTCTAAATCTTATACAGCAAAATTCAAAAATTATGTTGATAAACTTCCTAATTTCATAAAAGATGATTGATATACAGAACCCGTGGAGTGATATGTCAATAGAAACCATCAATCATGCGATATGAACTAAATAAGTCTCGTAACGCATTTTTTATGTTCTACGGAACCCTTTACAGTTCATTAGTCGTGCGTTGTTTTAGGGGACACAATCAATTTTGAGTCTTTTATCAATTATGTTGTGGTTGGAATTTTAGTGGCAGGTTGATTTTGTTCGTTTTAATGTGTTATTTTGTTTGAAGTGATTTGGTTATACTTAATCTCTGGATGAAATAAAAACGTATTGATCTTTTTTGAGTATAATTAAAAAAAGAGCGTGAAGAAATAAGTTTCACATACACAACTTATAGTAGGCAAAGACTATGGAACGCCAATTGCTACGATTCGTACATAATACATACCTGCATAACATCACGCCTTTTATCCCCGAAGGGGTAGCCAGAGTTGGCAGTAATTCCACTGCACAATGTAACACCCACTTTTCACTGTTTATGTTGTAAGTGACATTTAATAGGGGGTGAGCCTATTGCCATATACCGGGCACGATTCCAGACTCCGTGCTACTACTGAGAAAAAAATACAGAAATACTTTGCCCGATCCGGAAATCGGCGACTACAGGGCCAATGAGACAGTTCTTAAATACCTCTTTCACTTCATCAACAGCCATCAGTCTTTTCATGCATGCTCGTCAGTTAGAGGTACTTTTTGGCCCTCCAGAAGTAAATTTTGTCTACGTATATTGCATAGGCATATTATTTGACTATGTTTATTACTGCCTGTCTGTCTTTCTGTGTTTACAGCTGCAGACTTAATGACAAAAATAATGACAAGTCTATCTTCAAAAGAGATAAAGCAATCATGCAACGCCGGGTTGAGCCGCTAGTCATTATAATATAATGAAGTATATACACACATGTCTACAGACATACACTACATATATGTATAAGTATTTTATCTCCACGGAACTCCCAGTTCATTAAACACGAGTATGTCGCTAGAAACAATTTATTTTACTTTGTCAGTGAAACATGTTGCGTAATAAACTGAAAACCTGAAAATTTCTTTGTACATGTTTACAGAAGTAGATAATATATGTACTTTTAAGTGTAGGAGAGCCATGCTTCGGCACGAATAGGCCGGCTCGACCGGAGTTATACCACGGCCTCACAGAAAACCGACGTGAAGCAACGCTTGCGTTGTGTTTCATCGTGTGAGTGAGGTTACCGGAGGCCCAATTACCCTCCTCTTCTTCAATCTCCCCAATCCCAGAATCCCCAACAATCCTCAAACTCCTAATCCCCAAAAAGCCGGTAACGCACTTGTAACGCCTCTGGTGTTCCAGATGTCCATGGGCGACGCTGATTGCTTACCATCAGGTGATCCGTCTGCTCGTTTACCGGCTTATGCCATAAAAAAACTTGCTTTTGATAGATCGTTTTATGAATAGGAGAAATATTTTCAACTATCTATCATCATCATCATTGAGCAAAGCTTCTTCTCCCACGGCGAAGGTTTGAGCATTAATTACCACGCTTGCTCAATGCGGGTCGGCGATTTCAAACTTATAATTAGAAATTATAAGCCCAGGTTTCCTCACGATGTTTTCCTTCACCTTACGGTAACTGACTCTTTGAAAGTACATATACCTAGGTAGCTCGGAAAAGTCACATTGGTACTCGCTGTTGGTAGGTTTCGATTCCACATCCATGAGAAGCGGGTGTCTTAGCCTTCGACCCACCACGACATTTTCAAGTATTAATGAGTGTTCAAAAGCTAGATTTGAAGATGTTTCTACATATAATAACTATCGTGAGACATACTAAATTAGCAAAAAATCGTGGGTTACTCACGTAAAAAAACTAAGAAAAGCTCTACTAGTTTCGAACCATAGAGGGGTTCTTCCTCATGAGCAGCGTGTGCGGTCGCGGCGACAGTAAGCTGCAAGACATAACCGCAACTGCAAGATTTCGATCATTTTGAAAAGTCACTCATTTTGCCATTCCTAGAATCAAACCAACGGTTCTTATTCATATCATTAATATTCTAGTCTAGTTATAATTGAGAGAGACATAACTTTATTATAATTTCAAACTAGAACAATATGACTGGTTGATCAGAAAACGCAAGATTAACCCAAAATAAGCTGTCAAAAGGGATTCCCATGTGATATGGGTTTGGTACCCCGCCCATGCATTGTCTAATGTACTATGGTTACAGATCAAAGCTAAAATAACCCCTATTCTGAAGGCACCAAGGTCGGTTCTAGCTTGCGAATTGGCCTATAGTAATCTAGTTGATTATTCTAGTCTAGATAAAAATAGGTTCCAAGTTGATGCGTAAGACAATTGCTTACGAAATAGGTTTTAGAGTGTGACTGAAATTTTTAGTGAATTGAAGAAGATTGTATTTTTACGAGTGCATAGATAGACACATACAAACCAGCACTTTTGTGAAACTATACTTATATATATAGTATTCAGATTTTTGGATGTTTCTCAAATTATTTACGTACAGCTGTAGGTATGTTTTTATAATAACTATCGTGAGACATACAGAATTAACTAGACATCACGAGTTACTTTTTTTTGTTTTTTAATTGAGACAAGCCCGCCACAACCTCCCAAAACCGCTGCAACTCCTGTAAGTCAGGATATACAGTAGATACAACCATGAAACCACCAGAACACTGAAGTTCGGCGCGTCCCAGGGACATGAGTAACTTTCTTGGTTCCCGCAACGAAGTGAATCAGAAGATATTATAAGAGGAGAAGAAGAAAAAACTATAGTTTCCACTTCCCTCGGTGAATTACTGCAGGAGACAGAATGAATTAAGCCTAAAGGCACAAAGAAGAGACTGTACAACTGGGTGAAGCCCAGTCGCCAAGCACCACGGAAATTTGACTAAAAA